TCATTGTGTTTTTAAAAATTTGCTTTTCTTTGTGTTTGTGGGTTCGAAAGAGTTTTTGTTTTGAAGAGAGTGTAAGTGCGAAAAGTTTTGTTTTGTTTTAAAAGGAGCAAGTACTTAAGAACCATCTACCTACTCGAAAAGGGAATTAATCTGTGCAAATGTCCTTTAGACAATGCTAGCCCACTATTGATGAGTAGGTAGCATCATCGTCAGAGTTTTCGGGTCAATTCGATTAAGGGACGTGTGGTCACTAAAGCAACGTTAGTATGCCTTAGTGGTAACCCTAATGTCTTAGATCATTCAATCCGAGGCAACCATTTCGAGGCAACTTATGATCTTTGGACAAGAGGGCGACCTCTAAAACTTCCTGTACTTAATGACCACGTTCGAAGGCAACCAAGTGAGGTGTACCCTAAGAGTGGCATGTGCGAGTGTGTTAGTTCGGTTATATTATCTTTGTACATGTTATGGGTGAGCTATATTGATTTTAAGTTCATACATTGTATCTTGTCATGCATTCCCTATTATCAAACATCTAACAGTGTGTAGTTGCGGAACTTAAACTTGCGGAAATTAAATCTAAACTATTACAAGACGTCGGGTATTTACATCGCCAAAAATAAACTCTTTAATTTAAATTGCGAAAAGTAAAATAAAGCGATAAATAATTAAAGTCCTAATTAAAAACTATTACATACCAGAAGCAATTACAATATTGGATAAAATGATATGCGTGCGAGAAATTAAATCAGGCGAGTTTTTAGGGTTTTGACCCTTTTTATGAAAGAAAGAGATTTTTTGTTATTTTTGAAATTATGAAAATTAAATCTAAGTTAATAATTAAATTAATTAATTAATGAAAATATTTTTGGATTTTTTATGTTAAAGGAAATAAAATAAATTTAGTTAAAAGTTAGTAAAACCTAATATTCTACATTGATTTTAATTTATTGCAAAAATATTAAAATTATACCTAATTAAAAACTAAATTAATTGATTAATATTTATTTACAAAAATAAAGTGGTGCATTTTAATTTTAATAAATAAAAATAATATTTTTTTTTGTATTTTCTGATTTTATGAGAAAAAGAATTAATTGGTTAGTTTTAAAAATAATAATAATAATATAAAACAATTAAATAAGAAGAAATATAAAAAGAAAAAGAAATAAACCAATGGGGGTTTGGGCCAGACTAGGGTGTATGATCAGCATTTTCCAAGGCCCAAACGTGTTCAAGCCTGACTGACTTTGGCCATTCCATGCACGCCTGTTGACTTAGATGTATGGTGCACATCCAATCTGAGCCTTTAGATTTGGCCTGGAGGCCATCCGACGCCTGGAAATCTGGAGGTGCATGATGTGCTACGCCTTGGGAACCACATGCAATTACCTGGAGAAAAATGAGACAAATATATTGGGGGACCTGGGATTCGAACCCAGGTCCCATGGGATTTGGAACTAACGCGCTTGCCAGCTGAGCCAATGTACTTAGTTGTTAGTGGAATAGGTAATGAACATTATATATGAAAAACAATCAATATGCTGGAATTAAAAAAACCTCGCGCCAATATATGAATGGGCCAATGAAGACGAGCCACGTCTTCGTCTTCTTCAACAAAACCTGGTTTCCTTACCTGCGGATTTTTATCCGCAACAAAATCCCTAGGTTCGTCCTAAAATTAATCCTAGGCTATAGAAATGTAATCCAAAGCCATGGTTCATTTCGTCTCTCCTTCCTGAGCATCTCTATACCAATTATTTGTCCCAATTTTTCCTGTACAGCAAACGCCTAAAAACAAGGAATGGAAACCCTAGGTTCGGGTGTTACGTTACAGGCCATAAAAATGAAATCAAATATTGCAGAATACTTAGAAATCACACAAGAGTCATGAATATACCAACGTTTTGTCAAAAAGATGCAAGAATCCAAGGTTACGATTCAATGTACAGGGCGGAGTTTCAAGCGACTTACAGTGCGTTTAGAGGTGATTCAGGGCTCGTGAGTGGTTGCTTTAGCTTCAGTGAATGGCTAGCAAGAAGATAGCGTTGAGTTTTCTCTTTGAATTCATCTCTAGTATGGATTTTGATTCCACACTTTTCAAGCTTTTTTCAGTTTTGGTCTGGCCATTTGTGCAACTTTCAGGTCGTGTTCTTGTATGCTCTATGTTGTGTGAGTATATTAGAAGCAATTAGGTTTAAAATTGGGCCTTGAATCTTTGTGAATTGATGACTTTGGATATGATATGATTCCTCCATTAAAGGCCTTCAAATTCTTTCCAAATCCAAGATTTTGTGCATGATATGGCTTGGCACGAATTTGATTGTGTTCATGATTTTTATTGAAAGTTGTATCAATCAAAAAGATCACAAGTTATTAATATTGAGATTTTATTTTGATTTAAATTGATTAAAAATGAATTAAATCAATAAAAATCAAATAAAATTGAAAAATTAATAATTGGTCATGAAATTGAAGATAGGACACGTGTATGGTGTGACAAGATCAAATCAAGTGGAAAAAAGTGGGCCCATTTGACAAAAATTGGAGTTTTGGGGATAGTTGACTTTTGGCAATTTTGGAAAAATGCCCAACTTCAACAATTCATAACTTCTTCAATTTTGACCTTTTGGAGGTGTTCTTGGATTTTTTAGAAACCTTGCGATGTCCTCTAACAAACCCTTTTGGTCGCATCTAATTTTGATATTCCATGCTCAAGTTATAAGCTTTGGAAAAAAAGGTGTTTTTGTTGACTTTAAAAAATGACCTATAATGTCCAAATTTGTAACTTTTTGTGAGAGCATTTCTAGATCTTGGGGTGTGAATATGGATTGTAGGTAATTGCATCTTATTCAAAATGAGCTTTTGATGGATCATTTCTCATAAAGTATGAGAAAGTTATGCTTGGTCAAAGTTGAGTTGACTTTTCCTACAAAACCCTAATTTAGCAACTTTTGAATCTTGATGAATCTTGAGCAATACTTGATTAATCATGATCAAACCTTGATCAAATGATGAATTATCCTTCAAAATGAGAATGTTGACAAAAAATCTTGAGGTTTGACTGTATTTGGGTCACAGTTGACTTTTGCCCTAGCACAGTCGATTTTTGGACCTCTTGAGCAATTGACTGACCAAACTTCCTCTGCAAGGCTTGAAATTTGACATGGATGAACTTGAGAACATATTAGGACATTGGGGAGCACTTGAGGTCATTTAGATGCAAGGACTTTGATGCAACACAATACCCTAATTTGAGATTGACTGCCTTAGGAGATGATTTACTGTCCAACTCTTGAGCTATCTTGAGCAACTTGGGAGTTATTCTTGGAATGTCTTGGGAAATATGGAAGGGAAAATTTTGGGGTACAACACTTGTCTTGTTTTGAAGTAGCCTGAATCGTGCTACAGAACTCAACCTGCAAAGCTTCCAAACAAAAATGGCAATGTGTGTTAATGGAGTTACAGTTGGCAATGGAGGTCTGGAATAATTTAGGTGAGTTAAATGGAAGGTATTGGAACAAGTTTGAGGCCAAACGCACGAGGAAAAGTGGAGATGGAAGTGATTCTGCAGGGCTTGCCCTGTTTTGTAGAAAAATATAGATTTTGTATACAAGGAGGTTTGAGGGGTCAAGGGCTCGTGCTTCTTACTTGCTAGGGTATGAGAAACTTGTTTGCAATGTTTGTGTAAGCTGACTATGGCTGGTTTTTTGATTTGGGAGGATTTGGACAAATTTCTTTTGTGTGAAGCAAGAAAGTGTAACTTCTTCTCACAGGCCTGCACCAGTCATGTATTATGTTGCATACAATCTCCTTGATACTTGCAATTTGTGGATTTGATTTTGCCTCAGAGATATGGCCCCATGCTTCAAAGATCATGGTTTGACATAAAGCATATCTTTTCAAAAATGACAATGTAACTTTTTCTAATTAAGGATTAGTTTTGTGTGTAATGTCCAAATGGCCAAGATAAAGCATTAGCTCAGTGGATTTGCATTCAATTATGGAGTGTGAATTGGTTTAGAGGCCTGTAATTTTGAACTATGCTAGCTTGGTCAGATTTGGCAAATGGTACGAACATGTATTGGCCATGGTTACAAAGTGAGTTTTTTCCAACTTCAAGCATTCGATTCTCCCTAACCACAAAGGTGTTTGAGGAGTTCTTTGACAATTTGGAAAGCTTGCAACATGTACTACAATCCATCTTTGAAATTGAACTTGAAACTACAAGTGGAACTATATGAAAAATGGCCAAGAAGATGGGTCAAAATCCTGCCTAAACTAGGGCAAAATTTCTCTAAGTTAAAAGTTTTAGGTACCCTTGTTCCAAAAATCATAACTTGAGATCCAAGCTTCTTTTGAGAAAACTTTGTGAATAAAAGTTGTATACTTTGTGATGTAATACAACTTTCATGTTGTAGGTTTTGTTTGAATCCATTTTCATCTTGGTGAAAAAATGGGACAAAGTTAGGAAAAAATAAGAAAATTTTATAACTTAGAAAATTTCTAAGTTATGAAAATTTTCCATTTTAAACCCTAATTTGCATTTTGGGTTTCTTGATGAACAAGTTTCATAATTTGACATGTCTTGATGAAAAATAACTTTTGGCACTTGATTTTTACCAAAAAGTCAAAGTTTGACTTTTCAGTGCACAATCAAATTTTGATCAGTTGACTGAAAAATTCATCTGTCAATCCTATGCATTTGAGATATTTTGAACTTGTTGAATAGGTAAAGACAATGTCATTGAGTCCTTGTGTCCATGGTTGAGCTTCATTTGCCATTGGCTAGGTCAAACAGTCAAAAATTGCCCTTGTGCAGTCAAAACCCTAAAAATGACCATTTTGCCCTTTTAGTGATCTGATCAAATTTCTTATGGAATTGTGATACAAACTTGATCAAATGGTTCATATGAGTTCATAATGTTGATGTGGGTCATAATTCATGAGGTTTGACTATCAATTAGCCACAATTGACTTTTTCCCAATACAACTGATTTCTAGGTCAACTGTCCAATTGACTGGGCAAAAATTTGAATCAAGGCTTGAAACTTGGTATGGACAAACTTATGAGTCCAACATAAAGTATGAAAGTCATTTTGGGCATTGTGGGTCAAAACATCTCTGTGCAAACTCAAACCCTAATTTAGGTCAACAGTGCAAGGATGTGTCTTGAGCAGAGCAAACCCTAACTTGATCTTGAGTTCCAAGAGTCTTGTGATGAGAAATGTTGATAAAATGAGAGGGAAAATTTTGGGGTACAACAACACTAATACCAATGCAAGAATGCATGCAGTTACTCCAGTTCCACACGAAGTCACGACCGACTTTTCCAAAGAGATGCCTGCAGAATAATGAGAATTGGCGACAGTGGAATTCGAGAAGAAAATGATTTCGGCAATATTAAAATATATTGAAAGATGTTCGAACCTTCTTGTTCAAATCGCTTCTTAAGCTCGTCTGCTGGTAACAATGCTTGTGAAATATCTAAAATCTGCAGGTCAAAAACATTTGGCATTGATTAAAATAGTCTGAAAATCAAGTGCACGCATAATGTAATAATAATATACCGAAGCATTCTTAATAATAATGATATCGGTGATATAATACAACAGGATCAGAATTGAGATAAGATTGTATGATTTTTAATATTGATGTTGTACTTGGGGGAAAGGAATGCATCTGCTGCCAGGTACATGACCACTTCTAATTCCCTTTCTGGGCTCTACTGCAATTCCGTCAAACCTGTCAAAGGATAAAATCTTTGTAATCCAAGAATCATACATCAAAAATGAATTTGTGTCCCAAACTGAATAACATATTTATCATTTCCAGATCGATAACTAAGCTACATGCAACTAAGAGGGAATGTAAATTAACTGGGCTTTGATCGAGCATCTACCTGTTGATGAGATTTTTCCTCTATATTTTTCGTTACCTATTATGAAAAAGAAACAAAGAAAAAGTAAGGTGATATTCAATGATAACCATCATCATGTGTTGCAACTGGATATGATATGATACCTCTTCTGATTAGTTTTGATATTTGATGGACAATACACACACGCACACACATTCAAAATTTACATACGAAGAAACACTAATAATTAAACCAACCTGTTCAAGGGTCCAAACAAGACGTGGCTGAAATTTAGTCTCGAATGTGATTGGACCAACCTGAAAACAAAAAGTGTACATGCAAGGTACAAAGAAATCGTCAAATGCAAAACTCAACTCCAAATAAAAGTGAACATTAAAAAATATAGAATTCCAAACTCAATGGTTGTCCCTGATATACTTTATCTATTGCCTCACTTGCAGCACTGGCTTTAAGAATAGCATCACTCGAAGCACTAGATTCAACATCCTAACCAGAAGCACGCCATCTTGGTAAGCCACCATCTAATACCCAAACTCGGTCATGCCCAAACACTCGGAACATCCTTTTAATCATTGAAATGAGGGTAAAGGTAATAATGAAACTACATAGAAATTTTCATAAGATCACACAGCTCACTTGTTTTTACACCACACCATGGCTTACCACCAAACACGAGCTGCACTAAATAGTCCTTTTCCGTCATAAACAACTAGGCCGTCTTTGTTCTGTATGCCAAGAGCAGAAACAGCAGCGGCAAAAGCTGTCTCTGAAGGCAACATGTGTGGCAACTGATCAAGAATAAGAGTCAGAATTCACATATTGCAAACATCTTTGACAGAATAAACACACTAACAACCTAGAACAATCTATAAAATAATCACATAAACATTAAGAGTGTTCACTATGTAGCACCGACGCCTCTGAAAAAATAGTGTGTCTGTGTCGGTATCAAACACTTGCACTGACACTTATGATTACGTCTAATTTATTCATTTTTTCAAATTATTACTGGTGTTGCCGTGTCAGTGTAGGGCTCAAATTCAAGGTGTCCGTGCTTCATAGGTTCACATAAGAGATAACAACATTTATGAATAGTAGTGATTGTTAAGAACACTGACAAATATGTAAAAAAGAGATTCAGATACAAGAACGATTACATCAATAACTGTATATAAAAATAAAAAACTGTCGAAAAGAATAAAATGGAGATAAGCTCACATTTGTAGTGCGGTATGCTATTCCATCTATGTCAAAGAAAAGGGCCCCGAGAATGTGAGAAACCTGTTGCACATGGTGTTACACATAAAGCACATAAATGAAAAATGGTACATAAAAATGTTACAAACATACAAACGAAGTGATACTATTAGAGTTTGACCTAACTCATCCTTACAAAACCGCTTTGTAGAGTGAGGATTGCCCCCACTTATAAGCACATGTTCAGGTCATATATTGTCTGTTGTGGAACTCTTAACAGATACTATATACATATACCATCCAAATTCCGTTACCTGATACTCTTGAATTGGATTCCTTTGCTCGTCCGGCATATACCAGGATGCATCCACCACCTGCATGAAATAGACAACATAAGTATCAACATCTTTATTGCTTTTCTAAATTATGCAAAGGTGAAATTTAGGCATCAATAAAAGCAATTCGGCAACTACCTTAATATCATGCTCCTTCAAGTTTTTGTAAATCCAATCTATAGAAACAACAGGCTCATTCGTAGGTGCAGATCGTGTCGAGTACGTAGCTCTTGTACTAACTACTGAAGAACCAATACAAGGAGCCTAACCAGTCAACCTAGTGTTTTGGGCTGTAAAGGTTGAAACAACTCTTATAGAGAACACCTGCTTCTATCAAAATAACAAACAAAACCAAACAGCACCTTGAGATCAATAACACAATAAGTTTATGTTCAAACTAAGCAACATATTAAAGACTATATAGATTACAAAAAAAAAAATTCTCCTTTTTCACAATGATTCACTAGTAAAACCAATTAAAAGAATTGGGGTTCATGATATTAACAATCCACAAGAAACCCAACAGAAAATTTCAATTCCCAAACATAAAAATCAAAACTTTAAAGACAAACAAAAACCCATACACAAAATTGAAGTGGGTTGATAAAAAATTGATACCCTGATGAAAAATTGGAGAGAAAAAGTGATTCTTACATTGAAGAATGAAGAGAGAATTGGTGGGTGGTGAGTGAATAAGGAGGAAGTGTGAATCGTGCGTGGAGATAAAAGAATCTTTGTCAAAAGGGAGGAAGCCATTTTGCAGCAGCAACCATATAAAAGGCGTGGCCTCGGATAATTCAAAGAGTCGCAGGTTATTCCAAAATCAAAAATTTAATTATTAATCAGAAAAGAGATAGTAGCATCAATCAATTAGGTAGTGAGAGTGTGATGTGATGATGATGCAGCTAAAGGTGTCACTATTTTTGTTTAACAAATTATTATGTAAATTTTGGTAAATTATAAAGGTAATTTGGTTGAGTCGGGTTTGCATGTTTCACTTGTTAAATTAAGGGTCATGCTATAACATTCAAAAGACTATTTTAAGATTTGGATACAAGGTATCAAAATTAAATTAGGATTTTAAGAGATTATTCGAGTAAAGAAAAGCCTTGACAACATCATTATTTGTAGATTTTATAGTTCAAATGACTCTTCGTTTGTCTGAATCGATTTATGTGTCGATTTTTATTTACTGACGGATTATTCAATAATTGAGAAAGTGGAGTCGGCCTGATTTTTTAAAATAAAGTTAGTTTGATGATTGAAGTATGTCTATGCTTTGAATTTTGTAGCACCAATAATTAAGTTGGGTATGAGGCATTTGTTGCAGGACTTGCCCTAGGAGTAAGATTGGAGCATAATATGTTAAGCTAAGGGAAGATTCCCAACTTGTAGTCTTCTAAATTAGAGGGGAAGCCCAAACCAGATAACCATTATTGTAATGATACGTGGCGCTGAATAGGGAAAAGTTGGTGAAATTCAAAATGTCTACGGTCACACACGTACCAAATGAACAGAACAGTCGGGTAAATGTCATATTTTAGATCGTGAGTATAGGGGGATTGGGATCAACCACTTCTTCATCCAAGAGACTTTGAAAAACCTGAGTATTGAAGTTTTTAAAGTTTCCATAATGAACATAGGAAATACCGTCTAATCCTTTTCAATATTACCCATCATAACATATATAGAGCAGTGTGTACTACCATCAAATCTTACCAAAGGTTCCCTGGTTAAAAAAATAGCATGTTCATACTTCATGATCGAAGAAACTTTGTATATAATAGGCTTATCGACTTCTCTGTTGAAATTTCTTGAAGGAGAAGAAATTGCCTTCGTCCTTGCATAGGTATAGAAAGGGATAGTCGACCAACATCTAGGCACCCAAACACTAGTTAAGAAAGTTTATAGGTCCATATACTACTGTCATCCGAGGTCCGTGTTGCAAACAAATATGTGAAAAGGAGTAATCAATTTCAACGACATGGAAAAATCCACTATACCCCCTTATCAAAATTGCACACATTAACATTATTGTGGTCATTCTCTCAATGGGTATTGTAGCGATATAAATGTTGAGACTAAGCCATTGGATTGACTTAACTCGTACAAATCAAATAAAAATTACCATCGTGCTTTATTGTTTCCAAAGGAAATGGGAAAAGAGCGAATAAACCCAAAAGAGGGGGAGAATCTAGGTACGGAGGTTGGTTATGCAAAGGGAAGGTATTAGCACCCTAAACATCTATGGTACTCCGCAGGAACCTCTTTGAAAATCTGCATAGTTTGATTATAAAAGGTGTATACAAAAATAGATGGTGGAGATGAAAGAAGAAGTATTTTTTACAATTTTGCACCTGCCGCGATTGAGAATCTTTAGTGTCTATGTACCACCTTCTGTGTAATAGGGGATCAGGGTACTCATAGTTCTCCTCAAAAATTTTAAAACACATGTGTGTTGGTTAATTTTAAGAGAAGAGACATCATTGTCATATCCGAGTGGAAAACATACTTACTACCAATGATTATGAGAAAGGAGAATTTGCATCATCTCAATGGAGGATATAACTTGGATTTTAAAATCAACAAAACGTCACTCAATACTCAAGTGGAAAATATCTCACTTCACTACATATCATAGAAGTATAGTAACTTGTATCACAAGAGTCGACAAGAGTCTAATGTTATGAGAAAAAGTTTAAAGTAAAAAGGAAAAGTGGCAAAATGGTTTGAATGAGGTTAATTAACTTTTAGTCCTGAGAAAAAAATATCAAAGTATGATTAAATTAATTAAGGTTTGATTAAGAAAAGATTTTTGAAAATGCATGGACCTAAGTCCAAGTTTATTATGAAAGCGGTTCAAATTAGAAAACAATAAGAGTTTTTGAAAAGGAGGGAGAAGATATTTGAAATTAAAGAAGATGGGAGGAGATGAAGGGACTATCCTAAAGCATAAAGTAAAATATAAGGAAAAGAACAATATAACCAACGAGAAGCCAATACTTGACATGAAGAAGTCAATGTATTTGTTGTGGAACTGTTAACAGATACTATATACATATACCATCCAAATGCCATTACCTGATACTCTTGAATTGGATTCCTTTGCTAGTCTAGCGTATACCAGGATGCATCCACCATCTTCATGAAACAGACAACATAATTGTTAACCTTGAAGTTTTTAATGTTCAAGTTGATTATTAAGTGTCTTTAATAGAAAAGAAAGCTCAAGTGAGCAAATAAAAAATGACATAAAAGTAAATGTTCAAGTGAGCAAAGGAAAAAAATGGCATGAAATGTAAATGCTAAAAAAATAAATGGTACATAAAAGTAAATGCACAAAATAAAGGCATAAAGTAAAGTCAATTGTTATTGAATTAGAAGTTAAACAGTTAGTTGAATGAACATCTTGAAGCTTGATTTTGAAAACTCATTAGAAGATTGATAATATCAAATCTTCTCAACAACAAGTTTCATTTGCTTTTTGTCAAGTATATAATTCATTTCAAGAGCTCAAAACAACCACATATGATCAACGATGTTCAAATGATTCACTTAGACCAAAATTCATGAAGTTCATTAGAGGATTGATAGAATCAAAGCCTCCTAACAATGAACTTCAAACTTATTGGATCAAAGGTTTCAAATTAAACATATTTGGGCTTGCAAACATAGGTTTGGATCACGAATGATCATTTTTCAAATCGGGACAAATTTAGCGCTATGTTAAGCAATCGTAAGTGGGCTTATGTAGAAGTCACACCTATTTTGAGGCCGGTCAATAGCAATTCGTGTACCAAACATTTTAGAGAAATGATATGTAAACATTCTCCAAAAACATGTAGCACAAGTAAAAATAAAAAAGGGATAAGATGAAGAGGGGGGGGGGGGGGGGGGGGGAAATGATAGTGTGACCAATATATCATATGAAATTAGGGTTTCAAATATCATCAATATCATTCATCCATTTTGGTGGATTTGGTTTTTCAACCTATCAACACCCAAGATCCAATGAGGTATAGAAATGTGTCAAAAAAAAACACTCAAGTGTCTCCAAATCAGTATCAATAAAAAAATAATAAATTATATTTAATATAAAACAAAATTTAAATGATTTAAAAAGGAAATAATTGGTAAAATATATTAAAACACCAAATAAAATTCCTAAAGAAATATCAGAAGTCAAACATGAGTTAACAAGTGTTGACACAATTTTTTAGAATTTTTTATAGTTAAAAACTATTTTTAAAATATAAAGAAATAAGAAATGTAAACCAAAATTTGTGAAAAATAGTAAAATCAACAATAAAAATAAAACAAGGTCACCAATATTTGTCAAGAGGTCATTGGATCCTTCCATAATTTTTTTCAGAATTTTAAAATTAAGAAAAGTATTTTTAAACAATTAAAACAAGTCAAATAAAGTGAAAAATCATTAAAAAAATACCAAATCACAAAATAAAATTGTAAAAAAATAAAAATTAGACAGAAAAAAATCAAAAGTATTTTTGATAATTTTTTCACAATTTTAGAAGTTGAAATGAATTTTTTTAATGAATTTTTAAAGTTTAAAACAATTAAAACAAAAATTAGAAAATAAAATAATAAACCAAAAAAATGTGGACCATCTGATCATTGTCAAAACGCATTAGTAATCAAATCCAAGGGATCTGACACACTGTGCATGTTATGAGCATTAGTGAATAAAGCACCGAAACATTAATTTAAAACAAAATTTGAAAAAATAGTGTGGTATCATGTCATTGGTTAAGAGATGACATGTCATCGTCTTTAACCTCCATCCACGCGCGAATTGCAAGTCCTTCAATCTATAAAATTAGAAGCTCAGATCAGTGTCATTCGCTTCGTCTCATCAAGACGATTCCAATGGTACCCTCGCGAAAATTTATATTAAACACATCTTAGTCGATTTGGAAAAAAACCATAAGGAAACAATTGAAAAGGGATTTGAAAATTCATGAGCAAAACTCACTTCCAGTTAAAAACCAACAAGGTTATGAGTATCAAAGTGATGAGCGCTACATTGTAGTAATATGTTTGGAGAGAATTGATGGAGGAATCTACCCGTTGAATCTCAACTTCAGAGCTCTAAAACTTGACTTGGCTAGCACGATTTAGAGCACTTCAGACATGGTTCTTATTCTGTTAGCTTCAGTGAAGTTCCAGGATGAAGAATGAACAAAGAAATTGGATTGAAAAATAAGGAAAGAGTGAATTTGAAAGCTCATAATTGTGAGCTATGAAGAGAGTTTGGCAAAGTGATTTTAGTTGTCCAAGCTTGTGGAAATGAGTGGAATGTGTCCCTTATTTATAGTTGAGCATGATGGAAACAAAAAGTGAGAGAAATGATCAAGTATGATTGGTATTCGTGTGCACCTGCATCATGGGCAAAGTGTGACTTATAATTCATCTAAACTCACTCAATTCTTGCATTTTGATGCTTAAACAAGTCCGAGCAGGTTGGTTAAACATGTTTAAGTGAAAAACACACACAAAATTGGTGATTAGAGGCCACATTATGAAAATCAAATTCTGACTTCAAACAAAAACTCAGTTTCATGGAAGCAACTTGAAGAGCATGGGGAACACAGTGTATGAGGCTTTATGATCTCATTCTTTTTGCAATGGGAGGATTTCACAACAAAATTCACAATGTGTGAAGAAAGGTAGCATTTGGATGCTTGAGAAAAAAGTTGTTCAAGTTTGAAATCAGGAAAAACACAGGGGTATTTGTA